TTGCAATATATTTGTAAAATAATCTTCCGGCAGCTGTCTCTGCTTGAATCTGCTTCAAAAGTGTGATGTAAATACCGTCTCACACCGTTTTGTTGCCTATTGGGGCTTTCTGGTAGGTGATACGACTGAGGAAGGAGAAAGAACAACACACGTTTCTTTTTAAGATCATCACCACCAGTGATAAAACTTACAAGAAGAAGCGACCGCGCTTCCCATCTCTGTGAGCTAAAAAACAAACGAATGCAAAGTTCCCCCAAAGGAAAAAGCCACAACTGGAAGGTTACACACTCAGCGGGTACAATTAGGGGCGTTTTCAGGAGCTGTTTCAGCTGTGTGTAGCAAACTCTCAAATTAAATCACCCTGTTTACGGCAAAGACAAAGAGCTTCACACAGCAGGAGGGTGCACTGGAAAACTGGGTGTTGTGGTGGTTTTTTTTCTCCCCACACCTGTTTTCTTTGCAAGGGTTGAAGTATCTCTATCCATATCTTGCTCGTGATCAGGTATCTGCAGTGATTTATTTAGCACGTAGTTATGGGGAAACAATAAGGAGAAAAAAAGGTGGGATTCGTTACACTTGGATTTTTCAGCAACAAACTTCAGATATTCTAATCTTTGCTCAGCAGATTAACATTTCTGATCAGTGTCAGAGGAAAACTGAGGCAAATCGGCATCATAAGCTAAGCAAAGTGTTTATCACTGGTGTACTCACTGTGCCCACCCTTGGCTACAGCAGGCACAGATACACATCCAACTCATACAAGCAATAGAACACTGAAATCCAAGAGACAGTGACTACAGGATCAAAGCTTTATTCCAACTGCTACACATTATCCATGGATTATAATCCTTGGGCAAACAGAATATTACAGTAATGAAGACTTTAGCATTACAAATATGTTAAAACAGCTTGCATTTGGGGTGATATTTAAGGTCAAGTTATATCTGAACACAATTATTAAAATATTATGAAAATTACCATTATGGAGTGAATAATGTTTTCTTTCAGATGTAACCTCATCAAGTACATTCCATTTCAAATTTGGTTTTCCTGTTTTTCAGTACCAACAAGCTCAAACTGAGCATCTACATCCTTGACCTGCTCTATGTGAATGAAAAAGACAGGAAGGAAGAATTCTAAGCCCAGCCTAAAATCTATCTCCCAATGTCTATGAAACCAAGACCCTGAATGAATAAATACAGTTGAGAGGATCCCATAGTGCCAAATATCACAAGTCTGACCTCTCATTATTTCATATATACTCTCAAATGAAATTCATAGGCTTGAGAAAGATTCTGTGGAGTAAGACATTTCTCATCCTAGGGGAAACTAACACACCTTCTGCTACTGCCCCCACAGCCAGAATAACTGAAAAAGTAAAAAGCTCAGGAATGTGGTAGTAGAGGTAAGAAGATGGGTGAACAGGCTGTGCTCCTGGCTTAGTACTGTGGTTACTGTACATAAACCTAAAAAAGGATGATTAATTATTTCTTCTTGAAAGATACTCCAAGATTAACTTACAAACAGGCAAAACCTTTGGTTTTCCTTACTGCTCTTTTCTCAATTGCTTTTCCTCACCCACCAGAAAGGCACAAGAAGCAAGAGGCTCTCAGGACAGTTGCAGCTTATGTATACATATATTTTAACACAAAAAAGCAAGCAGCAAGTAAAGAATGCAGAGTAACAGGCTATGTTCTGAGGGAAAAAACATTTACCCAAGATTGGTAGGAATTACATAAGATACATATATATATATAATGTAAGATATATAATAAATATTTTCTATTTGTATATATATGAAAGCTGGGGATAAGATGGGATATAACTGCATAGAATGGATGTTTGAAGTAACAGCCTTGACTTGGTAAAGAACACCCACACAAGATCTCATTTAAAGCCAATATTAAACCATTAAACCATCATTTTGGTTGACTTTTATTTTTTTTTAAACAGTTAAGTTGAATTAACATTTGCTTTCTTCATTTTTTATCTATAGAAAGGCAAGTGGCAAGCTAGCTCAGTCATAGGAAATCAAACTGTGCATTCAACAACTCTACCAGGAGATACCATGTAATTATGTTCCCTGCCAGTGCTTGCCCCGAGGTCTGTGCCAAGGCAGGAAGTGCTCTCTCCTGTACCTGGCTGGCCCTGCTGGGTGCCTCCCTGCCCCTGCTGCTGGGCTGCTTCATTTAGATACAACTGCATTTCTTTATATCAGATAACAGACCA